AATGTATCCCAATAATATGTAAAATAAGACGAACATTGAAGTTTTACTAATGAATTCATTATTTACAAAATAAAAAAAGAAAATACATAGTGAAAGACAAGTGAAATATAAAAAACACAATGAATACGGCTCTGACCTTAGTTTAGCAAACCACATTTAGGTTAGCTCCGATAATATCGTTTAAATCTAATAGATTAAAGTGATCAAAAATAGTTAAAAGTGTTTACTACAAAAATCTACAGTGCTTTTTATCGTTTGGTCTACAATCGCAGTGAGTAAAATTAATATTCTCAATAATACATAATTACAACATATTCTGAAAGTCAACAAAATTATCACAAAGACTTACTCACAATCAATTTAATTTAACTATCAGACGACCGGTTTCGCTTTCTACAATATGCAAAGCATCCTCAGGTCTCGATACAAAGTTAAACAAATGATGCCGGTACTCTATACTAAATATCCGAAATTATTAACATTCTCACTTTTATCCACGCAAATATTCAAAATCCCTCTTTAAAAAGAACAATTACAACTATTAAGAAAAAATTATCCTCAAATTATTATTCATCTACAGAAGAATCTGACAACGACACAATTAGTCAGGATAAATAATGTCTGATACATTTTTAATTCAATGGAACCTAAACGGATTCTACACCCACCTTGAGCAATTAAAACTTCTTATAAACGATTTCTCCCCCATTGTAATTTGTCTGGAAGAATCTCACTTTAACCCTTAGTTGCCGGATTATAAAAATAATACAAATTTTTTTAATTTTTTGATGAAATATGTTCAAAAATACATTCAAAAAGAAGTATAATTTTTTTCAAAATTTTTGAAAACTTTTTACACAAAAAAACAGATGCGGTACTTTAAAGTACCGTCAGGCTGTGTAGAGTTATTTAGTGTGGTAGGAAGTTATTAGGTGAATAATGATAAATACGGAGATTTTTATCAATTTATTTCTAGAAAATACATCAATTATCAACATCATGATATATATTGAAACAGTTCTTCTTCTCATTCGAACACAGATAAACTTTACAGGTAGAACATGTTGAATGAGGTCGCGATTGTACACCTTGGCTGCTGCATACCTCACATCTACCTCTTTGAGCACCATATTTTACCCAGTGGGAGCCTCTATTTGAAAGGCGTACATCGGATGGGACTGAATAATATGTTCCTCTTCTTCTTCTTTCAGAGTACACATCACTATTCGGTCTTCGTCGTTTTGATGGAGTTTTCTGAAGTTTGTGAGCCATTAGACCATAGCAACTCCTCTTCGAAAATCTAAAAGAGATTGGTATTCTTGTATGTCGCAGAATATTATATAAGCATTAACGAATGCTATATCTGTTAATCCCCAAAATAGCCTATGCCACCACTTCTTACTACGTCTGTCAAGACCATAAACAGTTCTCAAACGATCAGCATGGTCAACACCCCCCATGAATTTATTGTAATCTTTTACAATCATAGGAGCAACAATATCAGCCTTAGTACCATCTTTTTGAGTCCTTTGAACAGTTATTTCCTCACAACCGTGGTAATTACTAGCAAAGTAAACAATTTTATTGTCCTTCCATTTCCACACTCTAATATCCATCGACGAAATCCTGTAATCAAAATCTCCGCGCTTCATGGATTTATCAGCTGTCAAGTTCTTAGGAAGAAACTTTTTATTCGGTCTAATTGTTCCACATGCTAAAGTTAGTTCACTTTTTAACTTCTCTAACAAGGGTATGGAGGTAAAATAGTTATCGAAATAAATCATTCTTTGCTTTCCCCATTCTTCTTCAGTAAGATGCAGAACTGCACGGGCTCCTAGTCCAAAGTCCTTATACTTTTCTTCAACTATGCTGTGTTTTCCCTGGTAAATTTCAAATTTCATAATATATCCATATTGATCGGAAAGACACCATAATTTGTAGCCTCTCTTGATAGGTTTGAGAGGATTGTACTGCTTTAGAGAGCTCCGTCCCTTGAAAAGTATCATCGATTCGTCAACCGAAAGCTCACGAGTTCCTCTATAATTTCTTGTTTCGTTCAGTTTGTCTATCATTGGCCTTATTTTGTATAGTTTATCTTGAGTTTGTGTGTTAATATTAGTATTGTCGTTTATATGAAGGTTGTTCAATATAGCATCAAACCTGTCTCTGCTCATTGCAGCTGGAACGATTGCAGTTTTTAGGTCTTCGCTGTTAGACCAATAATGCCTCCAATTTGGTAACCTGTGATACCCCATGAACATGTTTATTCCTAAAAATGTTATCAATTCATCTTTTTTTATATTCAGAACCTTATTCCTTTGGACAGCATATAAGTTGCTCTGATAAACTATATCATCAATTATGGAACCTAAAAGGCAAATAAAGATGTCAGTTCCAGTTTCGCAACCAGCAAAATTATCCTCTACTGTGCGTGTTGGGTACATATATTCTGAAGATGCAGTAGTTATTTCTCGTTTACGCCACTTTCTATCTAAAATTGCCTCATTCTGCTGACTAAAGTCAATTTCATGCAATGAATTTACCTCGACATCTTCTGTTATACCACTTTCTATGGACTGAGTCACATCTACTTCGAATGTACTTGAAGGTTCTGGTACAGCATTGTTAGAATTAATTATTACTTCATCATCATTATCTGATTCTTCATCAGTTTGGAAATTTAGGTCATCCGGTATATCCTCAAACAAGTAATTGTCAACAATATTTAATAATTCCGCATCACTTAGAGGTTTTTTGCTAGTCCAGTCTATTTTTTTTTCCATCTAAAAAAAGAAACGGGTTAGAATATAATAAGAAACGATGTAGCGAAACAAATTTATGTCCAGTAATAAATTACTTCCAAATGCCTGAAACTCAGGTAGATTTGTAGAAAAGATTACTAACTAACGCGTGGGACATCAAACTCGTTTTTAATAAAAATTGCAGTTACGCCCTTTTGAGTTAACACGGCAGCATGGCTTTTTCTTGTTTTATGCTTGTGTTGAACACCTAAACTTAATTGCAGGATAATTAAAATAAAAGTCATATAACTAATGAAAAAATTATTATTATTAATGTAAAACAATTATTTTTTTAAGTTTTCGATTGCAGTTACAATATTCCTTAAAATGGAGTTAGTTTCTTTTTTTCTCTTCGATCAGTTGTTCTAGTTTTTGATCGATTGACTCCATTCTCTGGTTCAACTCTTCACCAATTTCAGCAAACCTTGTTGCTGCTTGTGCTGCAGATGTTGCTGGATGAACTAAAAAAAACATAAAATTATTAATTGAATGAAAAGTACTTGAAACAAATCAAAGTACTTAAGCTTATAAATGTCATACTTTTTCTTTCCCAACCAAAGAAAATTAAATAAAAATACCCATCGGAATAAATAAATTTTAAATATAGGAATAGGTTTTAGAATATGACAGACTATGATAAATTTTATCAACATTTTATAAAATCAATTATGATACAACCTCATTAAGTTTGTAAGTATCGAATTTTTAATTAATTTTAAAAATATTAAAAAAAAATTATTCATCACATTTGTAGCTCCCTGATGAAGGACATAGCCAATGTCCGAAAGCTTGGATTAAAAATTTAAAAGAGTGCACGTTTCATTTTTATTGCTGCATACCCAATATTTAAAGTTTACTTCCTTACGTGGTCAGCAAATACTTCTGTTTCATTATATATATATATATATATATATATATATATATATATATATATATATATATATTAGTAAATTTTCAATATTGGGTTTGCAGCAATAAAAATGATACGTGTACTCTTTTAAATTTTTATTCCGAGCTTTCGGACATGGTTATGTCCTTCATCAGGGAGCTACAAATATGATGAATAGTTTGTTACAAGTTTGTATAATTAATTAAAGATTCGCTACTTACAAACTTAATGAGGTTGGATCATCAATGATTTTGTACCATGTCGATAATATATATATATATATATATATATATATATATATATATATATATATATAATATTCTTTTATCCTCATTTAGATATTATTCTATTTATTTGTCTTGTGTAAATTGTATGTAATTATTATTGAATTCTAAAACTGTTAATATGATATGATTTATTTAATGATTGTAATTGGTATAACAGTAAATAAACTGTTTATTTATTTATTTATAAATCAAAGTACATACCTTTCCTACTTTTAGTAGCTCTAGGGGAAACCTCATAGTAGCTACTTGAACTGCCAGCACTTAACAGCCTGCGCTTTCTTGGGTTTTCTGGTGTCTGAAAAGAGTTTTTGTTTTAATTATTGTAATAAAATTTTTGTACGAATTATTAACATATCATTGTTCTGAAGCTATTTTCTTGTGGCATTTTAAATTAATTACTATTTAACTGGGAATAAGCCACAATTAAAGGTTAAAGTATATTTATTGGCGTTTCAGTTTCCACTTCGGAAATTGTTCTCAAAATACAAACATTAGTTTAGTCAAACATTAAATATCATACTACAAAAAAACTTACTGAAGTGTAATTATGTTCTTCAAACACATCTGGTTCGCTGTCTGATACACCAGCAGTAATGGTGCTGCTTGATGCTTCGTGGTCATAATTTACGTCAACTGTCTCTGAGGGTTCATTCACATCCTCGCTGTCCAAAGGATCATCCCTTGAGCTGCTTAATCCATATATGGCAGTGTCCCCAATTATCCTTATAATCCTTTCCTCTAGGTCAGTTAAGATTCCTTTTAAAGGAGGACCTCCTCCTGTCTGCGTCCTGCTATTTCTTATGACACTATCCTTCTTTTTCACTTTATTTTTCAAGTCAATCCATACCTATCAACAAAAAATAAATATATGAAATAGGTATTTTGTCTTGTGATGTTTAAAATCAAAAATTTGAACAAAAAAAATTGTACGCGATATAAAGTATCTACAGCATTTATGCTCCACTCAAAGTATGTACTTACTCTTTGCCATTTTTGGCTACTTTTTTTGGGCCCAGATACACCATTTAATTGGGTACTTAAAATTTTCCACATTCCTTTTTTTTTTCTCCTTGCCATCATGGCCAAGGAGTTTGTCCTTGGCAAAATCAGGATGGTCCTCTAAAAAAGCCACCATTATTTCTTTTTGTTCCACCGACAATTTAGTGCCACCATTCTCACCATCACCGAAAGATTCTCCATCCATTCTTATTTAATTAAACTCACTCAAAAAAGAAAAACGATACGTACAATATAACGTAAAACAAACTAATTTCAAACAAAACAATATGTATTGTATGTTTACAATATGTATAAACAAAACAATTGTGATTTATAAAGGCGTCGTAAACTCGTTCATGTGCTTGTGCAGCAAATAAACAAGAGGGCCAACCCAAATTCTCAGCAATGTCAATATGATAAAGTAAATATCCCCACTTTTAACTAAAATCGAAATGAATGAGAATCGCTAGCGGTTGCGACTGTCATGGCGTAGTCGCTTTTAAATTTCGACATCGAATTGAAATAGAATCAGGGCCCAGAACCTCGGAGGGTTTTTCCAATAAAAAATATAACGTAACTTTTTAATGAAAAACTGTACAAACTAAATACTTATTCAAATTCTTCACATTTTCACAAAAATAATAACTTACAAATTGTTCTACCCCTGCTCCTAAGTTCTGCCTGCCGTGATAACTTAACTTCTCGAAGTTCCTTCCAAAATGACCAGAATTCCCTTCAAGAAGGTTAGGTTTCCAATGACAATGGGAATCGATTTTATTGTAAATCGATATATGAAATTGTGTTATAGGTTGCCTAGTTTGCAGCGCAAATTAGTAGCTATTGTAGGTAACGATCGTATCGTTACAAGTTCACAGGAGTGATTGCTCCTGAATCCGAACTGCGCTTCAGGAATCGTTCCTATTGCTTCGGATTCCTTTTTAAATCTGGTCAAAATGGATCAGCAATTTTGCTTATTGATGGTAATAAGCTAATGGGTCGGTAGTTTTGTGGAAAAATTCCGTCTTTACCCGGTTTCCCTATCATTATAACATGAGTCTCCTTCCACCTGTCAGGACAGTGTCTTAATCTTATGATATGATTTATTATGTTCGTTAGGTGAACGATAGCTTTCACTGGCAGGTTTTTTAAGGCTCTGTTTGTGACGTTGTCTGAGCCTGGAGCTTTCTTAGCGTTGGTTCATCTACGTTTGGATAGTGGTTGTTTCTGCATCCTCTCTGCAGTGTGTCTTTCATGACCTCCGATTTGTCTTGTTCAGAATAAACTAAGCCGTTTGCCCCGTGTAATGTGGGTATTGACTTCTTATCCTTACGCATGACTTTAGAAAGCTAGAAAGCCAGAAACCAGATTTGTTAGGGTCCAGCTGTTGGATGAAGTCATCCCAGCTGTTATTATTGTGGATTTCCAGCTGTTTTTTGAGCTCCCTATTCGGTTCATTAGCAATTGTCCTTTATGTTCCTAGTCCTATTTGACCTACTTCGTTGTCTGTTTTTCTCTCTTATTAGAGTTTTCAGTTCATTGCTGATTTCTCTAAATCTTTCTCTGGTTGTTGTTGAGGTTTTTTCTTTTGTACTGGTTTCCAGTGCATTTTGTATGGTTCTTTCAAATTTCAACACACTCTTCCAGTTGCCGTTTGTTGTTGATGTTAGGAACTATTCCTATTGTTTCACTGACAATACGTTTGAAGTTGGGCCAGCTTGTGTTCTACGCAGTTTGTTTCTACGGCGCCTAGAGTTAACATGATTAGATTGTGAGTAGAGTCTCTTTCATTGAGTGAGAGTATATCGTGTTGTTGTCCCACGTTGTGTAGAATTGATTGATCTGAAGTCGCTTTTGTTGGGAATGTATGTAGCTAGGATAAAATTCAGTATAGTTGAAATATGCCTCGTAATCGATTTTGCTAAAATTCAACTGCATTCTCTCATTTTACCAATATTCTCCGTTTAAGGATAATCTGATACTTTGGATGCCGACATTGTCAAATACGGTAGGATCAGCTGTGCTCCTATTACGTTTATTGGTTTGAAAGAAAACAATGACATAACGAGGTCTTTCAACTGATGTGCTAGTTTTAACGGCCCAAACTTCACACCTGGCACCTCTGGTGATGGCAGGTAATTCATACAATTCCCACTTTCGAAACGGAATAACTATAGGCAGATCTTGTTGAATGGATTTCATAAGTTGCAATTTAATATCATCATTTGGAAATATGTGCTTCACTCTGAGTTCCATACTGGTAATGTTAATCTTGGCAGTTGTAGCAGCGTCATGAATAATTAAACAGTCAGTTGTCATTTCGAGCTCGAACTAGTCTTATTGTTTGACGACCACACGTAATCATTGGATAATCCTTGAAAATTTTAAAATATGCTTAAGAGGCATCTGTATGTTGAATGAATGATCTGCAGCATTTAGAATAGAATCTTTAGGATAATTCCAACCCGCCATAACCATATAATTGGAATCTTCTTGAGTATAGCATGTCATAGCACGTACAGCGCTTACGATACCAGGATCTCACACTGTTTCCATCTCAGGATCTAGCACTGTTTCCATCTTTCTTGGGCTTTCGCTGTACGTACACGAATCGAAAAGAAAGGCACCAACATTATTTGCTAGTTTGACTTCACCATTTCCGGTTATTCTGATCCTTTAATGCATAACAAGGTTTCGCTCATTGCAAAAAACGAGTCAACTTGATTAATGCTAAATTCGATAATATCATTGCAGTTTAATGATTTAATGAATGGTGCGTATGTTCGGTATTTAGCCTTTCGAATTAACTCATCAAATATCGGCTTGCGATAAATGTCAAATATTGGAGGCCTTATGGTGTTGCTTGAACTTGCTCGTTTTCCATACATTGTAGTCATTTTTTCAGTTTAAAACCAAGCGTTTGTAAAAACAATTTGTTTGCAAACGTAAGATGTTGCTGCTTAGATGGTTGCACAACTAATGGCGTTCTTGGAGCAATAGATTGTCCTATTATAAGTCTCATCTGCTTCTTGATCTAAGTTCCAACACTAATGTGCTCTCTTCTCCTCTAAAGTTCACAGGTCGTCCTTGATCGACAGTCAATACAGTGATATTGGTAATTTCACGCTGTGACACAACAGGTAAATACAACAAATTGTGAGGAGTTTCGTCAATTGCGTACCCAGGATTTGATTGTATGATAAATTCGTAGATCGTGTGAGCAGGTCTGTTACCGTCGAAGGCTTCGGTACTAATGTTGCATTCAAAGCGTATGCTAGATACTTTAAAAATTCTAACAGGTAGATCTGAAGAATGTATCTGTCCAGGACTTAGTATTGCAGGAGAAAACCCCAATATTGTACCAAGACTATCATGTTGCTTAAATGAAATTCTATATTTACTAAAGATTTGGTACTGCAACGTATTGTGGTTGGGTTTTAGACTAAATATCGTTTCCGGTTTAAGCGCATTGTCAGCACCCAATTTCTTTTGTATGTATTCCTCAATATCGACAATTTCATAACATCCATCGGGAAAAATGTTTCAATCGGTTATTGCTATCATAGTAATAAAACTTGCAATTTTCAATGTTTGGTATACTGTTGTAAGAATGAAAAAATCGAAGAGCTATTTCATAATCTTTGTTCGGATCCAATACGATCGGTGTGGGAGGTTGCAACGGAAATATGTAATTGGTGCTATTTACTCTCAACAACTACGACATGATGCCTGATTCAAGTCAATAGAGTGTCGCTGAGGTTGATCCACGGAAAGCTGTGGATCGCCTTCAGTCGCTCTGTCCGCTAAGGCAGACGATCTAAGCATGCGTTGTGACTCCATAATGTTCTAAAACTATTTCACATATATATTACAGGATCCAATTTGTAAATAGAATACATCTTGGAGACGGCTATCGCCGTATTCCCGTCCTCCTCCGCCAATCCTCTCGGTCCAAGGCATGCTCCTCCTCCAAACCTCTCGATTCCATTGCTCTTCTAATACCTTCATTCCATGAGCGTCGAGGTCTACCTCTTTTTTTCTACCAGGGGGCTTCCATCTGTGAAGTTTTTGAGGCCAACGTTCGTCAGACATTCTTAACAGGTGTCCAAACCATTTTAAACCTCTTCTTTCTATTCTGTCTGTGACCGTATCTGTAGCATTCATCTGATTTCTTATAGATTCGTTGGTTTTCCTTTCCAGCCTTGATGTTCTAGCACTTCTTCTCAAATAATCCATTTCAACTGCCAACAATCTTCTTTTCAGGTCTGCATTAATTGTCCATACTTCAGAGCCATAACAAAGAACTGATTCAACTATCGTTTGCCCTATTCTTTTTTTGTTCCTTTTGGAAATGTTGCGATCCCACCATAAGGAGTTCAAACATCCTACAATTTTACGTCCCTGATTAATTCGGTGTTTAATTTCGGTTTCACCCAAGCCGTTCTTATCAATGAATGCACCTAAATATTTAAATTTTTCCACTTGTGTGATTTCTACGTCCTCGTCTATCAACACTTCAATCCTTGCATCTGAATTGATAACTAGATATTCCGTTTTCTTCATGCTGACTTTTAACCCCCATTTTACATATTCTCTGTATAGACGCTTTATCATAAATTCTAGATCATAAGAATCTTGAGCTAGAACGACTTGGTCATCGGCAAAGTTCAGGGAGAACAGTACGTCATTTCCTATTGGGATTCCCATTCCCTGGCAGTGGTTTTTCCAATTTTGAAGGGCTGCCTCAATATATAAATTAAACAGTAAAGGTGACATACTGCATCCTTGTCTCAGTCCTTTAGTTACTTTTATCGGCTCTGATAGTCTATTTCCGATTTTTAGGTAAGTGGTGTTATCCCTGTATATTTCTGTGATTATTTCTAAAAGGTGTGGACTAATGCCGAGTTGTTGTAAAGCTTGCCACAAACTATTTCACACATACCTTTAATCAGAACTAGAGTCGGTGTTCAAATTAGGCTGAATAACAATTGGGACGGTGGTACGATCCACTATGGTGTATTCATTTTCTATGCCGATAACATGGGAAATACAGTTCTTCCAAATCTCATCATCGAACTAGTTGACAGCTTGGCGTATGTTATCTAGTTGCACTGCGTTCAATGTCGGTGACTCATTGCGTTTCCTTAAGCGTGTCTTTAATATTCCCCAAATCATTTCTATAGGATTAAAAATGCAGTAATAAGGTGGCAAGCGTAAAATAGTATGTCCTTGTATCTTACATAGTTCGTCAAGTACGTATTCTTTGTTAAAACTGTGGGACTTTACAATACTTAATAAATGTTTCTTTAAAGGGACTCTATTAGGAATGCGTATTTTATTATCTCTCAAAAAAGTTACAATATAATCTTTCTTAGTACTACTGTTGGGTATATTTCTTAATAGTGGTGAGTGATAAGAAGCATTGTCCATGACAATTACAGTAGTCATGTGGCAGTAGTGGTACTTAATTTCAGAATTATCATTATCTACTGGAGGTGCTTCATAATCGTTTAATTTAGAAAAATACTGATTTTTAATTAAAAGAAGATTTACCTGTTTGGCAGCTACTGTTTTAGTTAATCTTGCTGAATATACTGCGAAAAATGACTTTTCATTATCTTCTATCAATTCTAAAGCATATACATTGACGGAGACATTATTTAATTCTTCGAATTTTTATATTTACTTTAGCCGGATAGAGGGCACTAACTATTGCCCAATAAAAACATGTCTGATCTGAATTTTTTACCTTAATACAAGCACGCTTTTTTTGAATAGACTCTGTGAGTTTAATATAAGATGAACCATTTCCAATTTCATATCGATTAATATTTACTTCCAAAGATACAATTTTATTAATGCAAAACCAGAGTCCTTTTCCTGAAATTCGGATAACTTATTATTTATTTTATCTGTAACATTCTCAAAAAACCATTGCTCCGTATCGGTAGATACGTCTAGAATAGCATTTTTTTGTATTAAAATAATTAAAAGTTAAAATTTCCTCCTCCCCAGATTTTTTAATAAATTCTCCACAAAAACAAACAATAACTATAACAACAACTTTATCTGCTTTTAAAATTTTTCTGATTTTATTTTTAAAAATAATATAACAATCATTTAGGAAATGTGCTAAGTCCTTATGATATAAATTAACTATAACTCCAGTTTTAATTCGACTCTTAAACGCGGAAACAAAATTTTGCCATTTAACCATTGTTTTTAGTTTGTTGTCTAGCCCCATACCTACATGTCTATTTAAAATACGCTGTTCAAAATGTCCGACATGCGTTTGCAGTTTTCTAATTGTACCTATATTCAAATTGCGTTTTTTTATTACTTTATTGCAAGTTTTAATTTGTTTTGTTACGCGTTTCAACCAAACTTCTTCGTCTTTAGCCGTAAATTTTTTAAAAACTATCTTTCTGACTCTTTCGATGAATAAAAATAAATTTTCACAATGTTTAACAATATCCATAATGCTTGCTTACCTCTCTCTAACCGATTGTTTTCCCTATTCCTTCAGTCTCGACAGCCTCTCTCTCTCTCTCTTTTTCTAACACATTGTTTTCCTCTATGTCTTCAGTCATGGCCGTGTTGTTACTGTAGTAGTGACACAGTAACACAGTGTAACACAGTGAACAGTCGGGAGACTGAGACCTCGGAAGCCCTGAGGAAGGCATCAGAGAGGATGCCGAAAGCTCGGCAAAATTTATATCGACGCGGTTCAACCCGGAAGACTGCTGAGTTTGTTATTAATTTTAGTAATAATATTAATCTTAGCTCTAGGTTTTATATATGATTGTGGGGTTAACTGGACCAGGACCAAGTAACCTGTCCTACAAGTGGTCCAGTCAACCCCACTGTAAGAAAATGTTATTTAAATATTTTTAATGTTTATCATTTCATAATAACTTATAATTTGCGGAAACACGTATTCTACAGTAGTTATTGTACTTACCTATTCAGCCACTAATTAAATACAACTAAAACTGAATCCCAAAAGTGCCGTCGCAAAAATACGTAAAAGTAACTTTCCACCTTAAAAAACCACAATCGACTGCAGACGAAACAACAATTAAAGGTAGAGCGTACATATTCTGCACGGGGTTTCGGCACAGCTCGGGGATAATCGAGAAACGTTTAACAGCACAATACAGTGCTGTCCAGCATAGGGCTTGTCCTTCAGTTTTGTGATGATTACCATCCCTTTCTTTTTTCTGTGGCTACTATTTTCCTTTCCTTAAACGTTTTGCCGTATATCGTTGCCGTTACCTTCTTTCCTCTTGCTGCTCACTCTAGCACTTTTCTTGATTTTTTCACTCCTAGTGCTGCTGGTGCCACTATCCCTATCCATTCTTTCCATACGGTCGAATAGCTTCCTCGCTGCTGCCAAGAATTTAACAGCCATTGGTTCTTCTCCTCTCCTTTGTTTCAGCTTTTGAACAAATTTTTTGATGTTCCCTCTCTCCAATTTACTACTATACATGTTATTTGAGACATAGTCCCAATTCCTCCATTTTCATCTTCTTCCACGTATAGTCCGGGAAGATCTGGGTACCTTGCACTAAAACCCCCCTTTACTCTTGCGTCAGCAGCATCTTCTGTTACCAAAATTGCTACATCGTCCGGTGCATCCAAAATTCCTTTTTCACAGATGATTACTTTCTCATAAACCTTCTCTGGCCATTCTTGATCTAGTACTTTACTTATTTCCTCGGTGCTTTCTGCTGTATCCATTTTCTTATATAGTTCCTCAATCCTTTTTCTTTGTAATTCTGGATTTTCTTCCCAATTTACTTCTACCTGGGTCCCTACGCACCTCGTAGATTTTATTTGCGTCCCTATTGTTACGCATTTTCTTATCGAGGGTTAACTTACGCAAACTCGTATCTAAAAAGTGGCATGTTTTCAGAAAACGATAAAAACGTTTTATTGCATATAAGGTTACATTGAGATTTATTGGACCGTTATACAATTGTAGAGGTTATTATATGTTGTAATTTAACATTAGAATTTTTTTGTGCTTACTTTGTTGTTTAAATACTGTGAATATTATGAGATACGAGAAATGAACATTCATATTTTGTTACTGGATACTCAGATACGAGTATGTGCAACTTAAGTAAACTTTTAGATATAATATGAAAAATGTAATACAAACCAACTACATTTATTAAATAAACTTTTAGATATTATTGTAATATTACAAAAAAATATTAACTCAATATACATATTGTTGTCATTTTACAAAAAAAAAACAGTTTTTAAAATATCTAATGACAGCCGAAAAATCTCTAATACCTGTGCAATATTAATTATCGTGCACTAAATTTTCAAAAAAATACTGATAATCTCTTGGCATCAGAACTTTTAGAGCTTGTAAGTCGTTATATTTTCTTAACAGAATAGGCAAGGGACTCGCATATAATGGATTGACAGTATGTTGAACTGAACCTGGTAGTATTCTGCGAAGTAAGTGTTTCCAAGCATGATTAAAATCCGTTACAAACTGAATACATGCTTTAGAATATTTAAGGTCTCTTAGATCCGTAACACAAAGATCCCCAGGTTTATTACCAGGACGAATGGAGCTGATGTAGTTCAGCAAGGAATAATTTTTGAAAAATGTGTGATCAACATAACGAACTTTGTATGGTTTATGAAGCCTTGCTTCCTCAATTATGCGGACAAAATCTGCCGGAACATACAGTTCCCTATTTTTTTTTTCTTTTTTTTTTCAATGGTTGCGTGCACAGAGTCGCACTACATTCGAGTGTGCCCAAATACTTTTGGTAAATAGTTATGTTAAGTTTTAGTGCACAATTGTATAGAGCATTGGCTAATGTGGAGTTGCGATTCTGTGCACAGCAGCCATCGCTATAGAAAATAAAAGGTTTTTCTAACAATTCTGAATCTACTTCATTTTGCAAAAAATCACATAAAAAGATGAGAAAATATTTGCATCAAGCCCTCCTTGGGATTTATCCCATGTATAACATATAACTTCAGACGTAGCAAGGTTACAAATTGTAAACTGGTGGCAGTTCAACTTTTGCTTAAGATATGTAGCACCAGCCTTAATGAATGGAAGAGTCTGTACGGCTTCGACATCAACAGTGTATGCATTAAGATTTCCCGATATTGCCGACTGTTTTTTTATCTCTGGCTCTATTTTTTTGGTTAATGTGATCCTCATACTCTGTTTGTGGTAAATTGTTATTTTTGTATGAAAAACATGTATCACATTGGTCTTTTCTAGGACTGTTCAGACCAATATTCATTGCCTGCATAGTATTAAGAAAACATTTATATGTGACATGTTCTTTAGTGTCAACATTATTATCTGATAAATAAGTTTTGAATTGTCTGTAAACTGAGCCAAAAGTGTAAATGATATCTAAATACAGTTTGTTTGTATCGGCCCTACAATAATGCAACTGCATTTTTGGTAAGTTTTCTAAAAATATCTGACATGTTTTAGTTTGTTTTCATTTACTTAGTTTAATTATTAACTTTTTCAGTTTTATGCAAAGTTCCGAACGCATTACTTTGTTTTAAACACCCCAAGATTGTCTATTCACCAAGGCCGAGCGTAGATAGAAATATTTTCTTACATAAAGGGAACATTTGATTATGTATTTTTAGTGAATATTGAAAACTGCTGTTTCTTCTGCTGCACCCCGTCGTTGTTTTTTGTTTTGTATCTGCTACTGTAACTAATGCACACACACAACCTTTTCTCTGATCCCAAGACATACGATGTCTGGCTATTAAATAACGAGACTGATTATGAAAAAGAGTTTTATTTTAAAAATTATTCTACAATCGAATGCTCCCCTTCCCTCGCCATACATCGTTCCATTCGTTTTTTCCATTTGTCTAAGCAATGCTGGAAGGCTTCTTTTGTAAGAGCATTTAGGAGCTTCGCCGATTTTCGCTTCACCTCTTCCATCGACTCGAACCGGGTTCCCTTTAAGGCAGACTTTTGATCTTCGGAAACAGGAAAAAGTCACAGGGTGCTAAATCAAGCGAGTACGGCGCGTGTTCGAGCACTGGAGTGCCTCTAGCGGCTAAATAACGCTTCATAGACAGCGCGTTTATGGGCAGGTGCATTGTCCTGGTGCAAGATCCACGATTTGTTTTTCCACAACTCCGGCCGTTTCTTACGAACTCGCTCTCGGAGCGTTGCCAAAACTTTCAAATAGTAAGTTTGGTTTACAGTTTGACACTCTGGAACCCATTCAGTCATCACGATGCCGTTGATGTCGAAAAAAATAATGATTAGCATGGCTTTAAATTTTGATTTCGACATCCTTGCTTTTTCCATTCTCGGCGATGCAAGAGTTTTCCAGTGCATGGATTGCCGCTTAGTTTCAACATCGTATTGGAATATCCAGGTTTCATCGCAAGTGATGATGTTTTCCATCAGTTCAGACTCTTCATCTAACCGCTGAAGAAAATCTGAGCAGATATGTTGACGGACGAGCTTTTGGTCAGGGGTCAAATTTTTTGGGACCAACTTCGCACAGACTTTCATGTTCAATTCGTTATGTAAAATTTTTCTGACAGTTTCCTTATTGGCGTTTACAGTCTCATCAATCATCCGAATACTCATACGAGGATCTACGCGCACAATTCCATTTATTTTGGTCACTATTTGCGGAGTTGAAACAGAGACAGGTCGACCTGGACGTTGGTCATCCTCGGTGCTCACCATAGGCCTCTTTCAACAACTTATAGCACTCAGTCGGAGTTTTTTTTAATTTATCGAGAAATTTTACATTGATCCGTTGCTCGTGTTTTTCGTCACACATTGTTATCGGCACGAAAAAAAACACGTTCTTTTTTAACCTCTACAGAAAAAATACTACTACAGCGACAAAAACGTGTTTTCGTACTGAAAGAGTAGACACTTCCAGCTATCCAACGCTGCATTTGTTTTCCACCCTACCCCTCTAGGACGCCTTCTGCGCGCGCAGTCTCGTTATTTAATAGCCAGACCTCGTATGAGACCAGAATGTTTTACACAAAGCGCTTGTGTCGTCTTCACTAATTTCACTACATTTTCTTTTCTTGCTCTTCATAAATACAGTTGACTCACGTGGTGATCCTAGTACTCTTGTTGGTCGCTTTTTGTAACCAATAAAACCCTTGTTTTTTACTCGTTGTTTACTGAAATATGATGAACCTTTTTCTCTTGCCATCATAGCCTTGTTTCTAGTCCACTCTTTTTGATTACCTTGTTTTCTTCGTGAACGTTTAGTAGAAGATATGCCTGAAGTTTCATCTAGATGTTGAACTGGAATTCCAGGAGGATTATGGGCAGTCACTATCATTTTGGGATATATCTGATGATGTACTACTTCTTGCTTCAATGGAATCACGCTCTGGTTGTTCAATAAACAAGCCTGATTTTTCGCCAAGAATATAATTATCTGCATAACATATAACATCTACGTTGTCGGTAGAGTCGTTTTTATTTAAAAACTCTCCAGTCTGATTATTATCTAAGTGATATACATTTGCGGGTTTTTTTACTACATGATTTGACAAAACTTGAAAATTTTTTTCGCTGATGGCGCACATTTCCAGTCTGTATTTTTTTCTTCTGCATCTTTAGCGTTCACCAGACTTGATATTGCTTAATTTACGAGTCTGTGACTTCTCTTCATAACTAAAACCAATAAATAAGCATTAACGTAAAATTATTTATAACCCATTAAATTTGTAATCCTTATTACTAATAAAATTGATTTTTTTCTATTCGGCAGGTACCCTCTAAAACCAAATAAATTGAACATTTCAAATAATAGGAATTCATTGAAATAAATTAATCCAACTCCGCTCAAATTTTTTTAACTAGATCTTAGAAAACGTGTACCATAATGGCAACCTGGCATAGTTTAACGAAGCATGGCGATTCAAACATAACCTTAACATTATGTAGAAGATGAGAATAATTTTATTACACATAAAAAGTACATACCTGTAATTGTAAGAAAACTTCCAATATGATAATACACAGCTAATACTTTCTTAAAACAAAATAAAACGTTCGAATACTTTCAGTGTTTGCAGCGTTATTGCACTGAAAACCGCTAAAACAACATTTTAAAATGCGACTGATGAGGTTGCAAGTTCTCTTCGGGTGATGTTCTGCTAATATGTCGTTGCTGTGATACGAGGGTACGTAAGTTAAATTAATGCTGTCGCTGAGATACGAGAATTTCAACAAGAGATTTACAACAAAGCTAAAAGAAATATTGAGTTACGCGAAAGGAGATCGTATGCACCGTTGCCATAAGATAAAGTTTTTGACAGAATCCGAAAATAGAAAATTTTGAGATACGAGTTTGCGTAAGTTATCCCCCGTTATACCTTCCCTTTTTTAAATATCCTCTGTAGCACTATACATTAGCTCTCTAATGTTTCTTTCCATTTCGCACCAAATCTGCCGTACCTTTGCGGCTCCCTGTTTTATCTCATTGTTTGTATTTGCCACTGCCTTTGTTATGTTCACTAACTCGTCGATGCATCCCTTCATTTTTGACATTCCTTTCTCTGTTTCACTTCTTTTTAAATTTAACTTTCATTTTTGGAAGTTTGATTGAAATGAGATGTGCCTTCCAAAACATCCAGAATTAATTGCCGATTATCTTCCTAAAGGGTTGAGTCTACTGCCAGATAATTTAAAAAATCAAGCTTATTTGCTTCTTGTATGAAATGAACTCTCTTTTTTTCATTTTTTTTCAAATTTGGATCCTGTATTTTCCTCTTCCCTTGAATGTTCCAACTTCTTACAACATGCCAGGTGCATAACAGCCTCCTTGGTCGATTTCCCATTATCTTCACCCATGCATTATAATATTTAGGATCATCATCACTCATGAAATGGTCTGCCTGAATTTCGGTCTGCATCTTATTCTTGAGGGCACCTAAAGGTTTTTGAAAATTATTCTTTCCAGTCATAAATTATCACTAGGTACTCAAGTAGATAAGTAGCCACTTCAGCGCACTTTTTCCCCCACTAACCTAACCATCACGTGACCGCGGGGCGGCACCCTAACCTAACCTAACTCAACCTAACCTTTTTTAACCGGCTTTAAATCACCCCGGGTTTCGGCTGTCCTCCACCCCAGGGTGACACCTAGGACTAGTTTGAGCAAGAATGGGTCCAAGCATCATCCTGTCTCAAACCTAGCCATAGGCCGTCTAGCATGGACTAAACACTGCAGGGACTTCACAGGCCACCTGGAACTGTCTGTGAAGATACACGTCTGGTGACCTGTGCCGTCAACTCTCTCTCATTCAATATAACCCTCCAGTCGCCCCCTCCATCTTATCCTTCCTCTCAATCCTTGCCAACCAATGACGACTATACGACCAACAACCGTTCCTCTCTCTCCTTAGCGGCGAGAACCTCGCGAACAAAACTCTCTCCCGTTCTCCACCCCGTAACGCTCATCATCATTTCCTCTACCATTTACTCCCGGCCCTTCAACCAATCATACACACCTTCGCATGCGGCCGTTGCTGGATAACGGAGTTCGTCCAAGTCCCCCGCTACCACTGCGCACTGCGAGATCGTCCGCGAACGCAAAGGGCTTACAGCCCTCAGGGTATTCGCGGCGTAGGATCCCGTCATGTGCTAGATTCCATAGCGTGGGACCGAGAACAGACCCCTGTGGAACACTACCCTCTCCTCCAAAGATCCAAGAACCATTGTCGGCTCAAGCGTATTGAAGGCATTTCGGACGTCGAACAAGATGAGCGCCGCCCAACGGGCATCGCCCCTTCGCAGTTTACCAAGCGTTTGAAGGAGACAGACCGGCCGATACTTTTCAGCTGCTGGTTCGCCTTTTGGGAGAACTAACTTAGCCATCTTCCAAGATGCCGGAAAGATCTGCCATCGGATGAGCGCGTTCATGTGTCCCAAAAGCCACTCGGTCTCCATTCGCCTGACGTGCTTCACCGCATCCGCGGTTACACCGTCAAGTCCAGGAGCCCGACCGACTTTCAGGCCACCCAACGCGTCCTTCAGCTCGTCTATGGAGAAGCACACATCAAGCTACTTGGACACTCCGAGGTATCTCCCCATCACATACCCCCTGCCAGCCGGGAATAATTCCCGAACAAGCCTGAGCTTTTTGTCAAGGGGCATGTCATAGGGAGAGTACGCCCGAAAGTGCCTCATGGCTATCTTGTATCCTTGTCCAAAGACATCGCCGTCTATCCGTTCACACAGATCCACCCAGGATCTTCTCTTCTCCCTGCGTATCATGCGGGTCAGTTGTCTCCTGCAATCGGAGTGTAACTCTTCTAAATTTCTAATCGCATCTTCACTCCTTCTTCCTCTCATCATTCGCAAACGCAGGCACCTATCACGCCCACCTTTTAGATCATCCGTCCACCAGTACGGGGCCGGCCTAGTGTGAACCGCG